TAGGAAAAAAATTAAAAAGTAAAGCAGTGTTCGGCAAATCTAGACGACCTTGACGGACGATTAGACGCTCTGAGCGAGCAACTAGGCGCCATAGGTGGCCGACTAATTCACCTAGACGGCAAACCAATTAGTTGGAGCACTTAGACAAAAATCGGGGCGCTCGTCCACCGCTTAGCCTAGGCATAGAGTAGTCAGACGCCTAGAACGATGTTTAGAACGGAGAATTTATTCCTAGTTACATACTCCGTATTAACTGAGAATTACTTGGTACAAAAAGTATCTACCGAATGGTGAAAATGAAGAAATTACAATGTCACTGAAACAAAGTGAAAATATCACATTCATAACAACAATACAAAAAATGAATCCATTAATAAACTCATGTTTTCATTCATGACAATCATATAATTCTCGTTAGAGCTCATTTAGTACTTAAAGGTTTTGAAACACTTATTTGTACATGACATCCTTGTTAGTTACTCCATTCTCGTTTGAAATAACAACTTTGATTAAAAAATGAGTTTTCAGTATTAGCTCTTTAAATTTACTTATAATCATATCATAGGAAGTAATAGTTGAATTAACAGGGGCGGATATAGGAACCCGAGATGCCCTGGACTGAATAGGAATTATACTAGGCTTAAATATTAGCAGAGTGGGCTAAATCTGAAAATTGAAAAAATTTACACTAAAAAAACTGAAAATTTTCTAATTTGCCCAGGGCTTCAGCCCACCATAGCCCGTACATAGATCCTCCCCTGGTTGAATATCATCGTATTTGAAATTTGAATGGCAAAATGATGTCAAGCAGTATTAATGAAAGCTTCTGTAACGCCCCTCTCAAGGTTAGAGGAAACGTTACATAAACTTACTACTTTAAAAAAACTTCAATATAACGGCCGTTTGTTTAAGAAATAACCCTGATAAAATCTCAAATATAACTAAAATATAACTCCAAATAAAACTCAATAAAATCTAGTTATCACTAGCAAATGTGATAACCACCTGGATCCAGGAATTTACTAAAATTTCAAATCCTCAAATAAAATAAAGTAATAATAATCACTTTATTATAACATATGAAATACTCAAATAAAATAATAATTAGCGAGAAGTCGCCAAGGTCGTTCCCGTTAACTCATTTCGGCACGCGTTCCACTCTCTCATCATCTTCCTAGGCCTTGGCCTTACCTTTAGTATCTGTACATGCGAAGAAAGAAAACTGATAAGCTTTACGCTTAGTAAGTCACTATGGATCCACAAAAATATCTGAGAAGTCTATGCTAATTTATCAATAGATAACTTTAGGCTATAAACATGCACTAAACAAACAACTAACAAATAGCTTCTCAAATAAATTCTGAGAGAGATCCCAAAAAAAAATACTTTCTAAAATAATTTCTCAAACTACTGGAGAGATCTCAAAATTTCTTTCTCAAAACAGCTCTGTAAAACTTTCTGAAAGAGATCTCAAAAATAACTTTCTGTAAAACTTTCTGAAAGAGATCTCAAAAACAATTTTTTTGTAAAACTTGCTGAAGAGATCTCATAACTTTATTGTAAAACTCTTTGTGGCTAATTTTAACTGTGGGCCCGTGATATGTACTCAAAGGCGCCAATCCGACAGCTCAGGGGAGCGACCCACTAAACATATCGGACTCTCTGAAACTGATAAACTGATAATCTGAGGGAACTTGTTCCCGAGTACATATCACCTCATCTTTCACTTTAAATATTAGTTCTTTTTATGGTGACGTTTGAATAAAAACATCATTAAAATCTTGAAATAAAGTACTGATAAAATCTTGACTATGCCAAATAATAAACAGAACTTAATACGACAAACAAAATAACTCATCAAATAATTCATCAAGCTCACATAATAGCAAATAGTCTAAAATCATCTACTAAAAATCAACCAGACTTCTTCCTTTCATTTGGTTGAACCAACATGTACAGGTGGTAGTGAACTTACCTGTCAAAACTGAACTCAAATCACTCATATATGGATGACACCTTGATAATGTCTTCTGGTAAGCTCTTTTTTAAAATCTTTAATTGAATGTAATAATATAAAATAAGAATTCGGCAGATTTTAAAACAAAATCATGCGGCTGAAACTTTATCTCAATCATGAGACTACTTAATGGACCTTCAATGCGGCAAAACATTTTTTTTTCAGCAAAACTATGTATAATTAGCAGTTTAGTTTTTTTTTTTGAATGAAATTGGTCACTAAATTTCTTTTCCTCCTGCTGCGTACCAGTGAGAAAACTAGTGTTCACATACGTATAACTATTATTATGCATAATTAAGAATTCAGTGCTTTGAATCAAAACATTGATCAATACGTAGGTTTTGAACATGGGTGATCAAACCAACCCCAAATCAAGGATTTTAATTTGGAATCTATTCAATCAAGTTTCGGAACGCAGCAATAGGCAATAAGAAACTCCTGATTTTGAAATTGAACTCCTTGTTAGAACTAAATAGAGGTCTCTAAAGAGAGCATGCTACTGGAAGTTTTATAGATGAATGTTTATCTGAAACTTAAACCCCAATATCTAGGAGCTACTATGAGACCTAAACATTAACTAGAATCGATCCACTGCTCGGCCACTATATAAATAATGAAGGTAACGAATCAGACTTACAAGACTAGAAGACCTTCGACGAAGAAGCCAGCTAAGCAGGTAGGAGGCGCTTTGATTCAAGGCACAATTGAGAAAGAAGAAAGCTTAAGCTTATGCGCAGAGGCGGAATACGCAGCGCTAGAGTTAGGTTTTATTTATTTATTCATCAAAGCTGCTATGTGATTACGTATACATATATACTAAGTATCTTTGGATTTAGTTTAAAAGAGACTTATTTGGGCTAAGATCGATTTGGGCTTTCAATATTCTTAAAAATCCAACATTAAAAGTATTTTCTGTTTCAAAATAAACTAATTAAACTTTAAAACATTACTAATTTCTACACTTAAAATTATTAGAGCTTACCGGTCAACGTTACCGGCCAGAACAACATGTGATCAAACAATAAATCACATTAGTCATAGAAGAAACTTATTTAACTAACTAAAATAAATAATATTGATTAATATAACTAGCTCATAAAAATTGGGGCGTTACAGCTTCATAGTTGATATTTTTGAGGGCTTAATCTCCAACCCTTGTTAATATATGTCTTATGTGTTCCACAACCCCGTCTAATAGTCAATATAAGTAATAATTTTCTGATGTTGTACAAATTAGGAATTCAGAGTACCCATGTATATTAAATGTATTTAGAACTTTCTGTTATAAGTTTTAGAGTAGTCTACTGTCAGAACATCGCGCTTTTGTCTAGCTTTGGACAGAATCGTTAGGAAGCAAGTGTTGGGAACACTTGTGCTCTTGATCAGGATTGGCTTCAACAAAAACGCGAGCAGAAGAGCTCCCTCGTGCAGAATTGCTCAAGTCTTTAAAGTCTCCGTTATACTAACATGATATACCCTAACGACGAGAAGCTTCTTAACGGAAGATGTACGAAGCTGTGCATTAGATGTTCATTTAATGGTATCCATTCGTTGGGATATTTATGCCACATGATCGCCCATGGTATTCAGGAGAATATGATGTAATACTCTCGAAATAGTGAGTTAACGAAAATATTGGAACTGAATGGTCAAGTCTATAAGACATGCATTTAATAAGTTGTCTTCTACACTCCAACGGGAAGACCACTCTCAGTAAAAAAGATACACTTAGAAGAACCGGATGACAATGAACTTTGAAAACAAGCGCACAAATTATTGAGAGCTTAATACTTAATCTTTCAAGTCTCAACACAAGTTCGTCCTTGTTTTCCAACCTGTCTAAAATCTTCAACAACACATCTTGTATGGAGTACGTTGAAGGGAAACCCTTAAAATCTTTCAAAGTATTCTTCTTGCAAAAAAGAAGGGCGCCAAAGTAATCAGAGTAAAGAGGGGATACTTCAAGCAAGCTCGGTGAAAGGCCATACACCAAGAAGCAGGGATTGCATCTCGAGTGACAAGGCCACTACACTTAAGAAGCCGTGGAGAGCTTCTTGGGTGTTAGGGATCTAAGTGTTGTAAGGGGTTTACATGCATCATAGTGGAACAGTGGACTAGAGGAACACATTGTTCCTTGAACCGCGGAAAATCACTGCAGCAAGGAGGAGCCTCATTTTTTAGCTCCGCAACTACTCCGACATCGAAGGTATGTGTCATAATAGCTCTTTATATTAGTAATAATATTCACATACGCGTTTAAGGGCTGGGGGTGTATTCATTTGAGACATCTTAAGACTTTAGGATTTCTGAAATCTGGATATATTTAAATAAGACATTACAATCCAAGTTGTCGCTATGAATTGATTTTTTTTTAAATTGTGTGCATTAACCAAACGTAAGAGTGGCTTATTGTGTTATTTAAAATTGTGTGCATTAACCAAACATTAAAATTGTTTTTTTTTTTAAATTGTGTTATTGCTCTAACCAAACGTAAGAGTGTTATTTATAAGTAAATAGAGTCTAAAAATGTCTTATTGTGGATAGGTTTGTTACACAAAAGTCCGTTACTTCTAGTTTGTCTTATTATGGTTATGTTTTCTACTCGCTCCGTTCCATTGGACTTTGCCAACTTTCCTTTTCTATTAATGCATCTAATTTGTGGTTCTGCATATTCCTCTAGCCTCTGCACAAATATTAACCACATAGTTTTTACTATTCTTAATTTTCAACTATTTTGCACTTGGCAAAGTCCAGAGGTAGTATTATTTAGAGAATATTACCCAAAATATGACTAAAACAATTTGAAAATTTCAAAATAGGATTGTCATGTTTATATTCTCAAAATAGGACTAATTATTGCCATATTTTGATAGTACCAGACTTCAAACATTACAGTATTTTCTAAACATGGCAGTAATTAGTCATATTTTAAGAATAAAAATCATTACAATCCTATTTTCAAACTCTTTTATTCTAGTTGTGTGTTTGGCCCAATCATTTTTAAAAAGTCCGGATCTTGTCTTCCATGCTAGGTAAGGTAGGGTTGAACAAGAAGGACCTTTTCATTTTTCCGCCTTTCCTCAATAACCCTGCCGCCCTGCGCTCAAGCCGTTCTTTCTGCTTCAACTTCATTCATCAGTGCGCCTCCAAGTCTGCAATTTTCTTTCTCATTCAACGGTGCTCTCCCCAAGCAGGTACGTTCAATCTCTTCCTATTCTACTGTCCTCGCTAAACCCTTTCATCGATTTCTTTTCTTAGCGGATGATTGCTATTTTTTATGAGTTTGATCAACAATTCATAACTAAAACCTGTGTTATATTCGGTAAAAATCTGGTAACAATTGAATTCGAAATTTGCATTAACTTTGAATTTAATTTTTTAAATCTGTTATATTTTTAGGATTTGAAATAAATTTGATTTGATTTGTGCCAAGTAATTTTAATTTACTGGTTTGTTATTTTCATTGCGAATTTTACCTGTTTTTTCAAGTCCATGACAGATTTTTGGGATGTGTTTTGTTACTCCCTGATTTTTGCATATTTATTGTTTTAATGTGAGTTTTTCTGTTTTTTTTTGTTCAAAGTCATTACAAGGTTTTTTATTGAATGCTCTGGTTTTGTTTATTCATTGTAGTGCAGGTTTCATTGAGTTTGTTCATGAAGATGTAGTTGCTTGTGTATTTTATGCTCTGTTTTTTTTAGATTTGTTTTCAGTTTTTTTTGTATACACAGCAGTTAACTTCAATCTTATAAAGCTCTTTTATGAAACTGTAATAGAGGAAAAGAGACATGAAGTTCATCGCCGCATACTTGATGGCTGTGCTCGGAGGCAAAGCCAGCCCTTCCGCCGGTGACATCAAGAAAATCCTTTCTTCTGGTATGACGAAATTTAAATTACAGATATTTCTACATATGCCGCATCTGACGTTAATTTGTATCTGTTTCATGATCGGTGTACGTGAGGTTTTGTTAGCTGTTCGGTACTTCAGTGTATATACATATTTTCGACTGCAAGGTCGTGTTAATTGAGAGTTTATGATTTCAAATTGATGTTTTGAAAGGAGACCATAATTATGTCTCTTTGACCAATTTACGTTGTTAAATTTACTACCACATATCGCATGTGAATTGGATCGAAGTAGAGGATTTTGTGATTTGTAAATCAAGACAATTCTTGTGCGAAAGAGTGGACTCAAGTCCAGTTCTTTGTCACTTAGGGCTTCTGTGAAGCAATGGAGCCTGGATTTTGCTAGGAGAAGAAATCAGGTTGGACATTAAAGGCGAAACCTTATAGAAACCTAGGAATTTATACATCTTATTAAACATCTGAAGCATTAGGAATGATTTGTTTTCCTTTGCATTATGTGAAAGCAAACACAAGAGTTCAACTTGCCTTGGCTTTTTCCCCTTTTCATGAGCATTTTCTTACATCGATAGATTTAAGAAATACTTGTAGCATTTGCTATTTACATGCTGGGTTGAATGAATAACTTATTTACTTATCTGTATTCTATTTATTCTGTCAATCATGGTTTCTAATGACTACTAAATAAAGTCCATTGTATGTCCTTGTTCTTCTTTTGGTACTCACTGACTCGAGTAATTTCGAAAATATGCTGCACTTAGCTTGCCTTTCTTATGAAAAAACAGTAGATATAAAACACTGCAACTCTTAAAAGATTACATTTGCTTCCAACCTGTTTGATGTATGGTCGATTGTTCTTCAACAATAACATCCAAGCCTTAATTCCATAAGCATTAGGGGCTGGCTAACGTCCTAATCTTCATTTGTTTCATACGTGCAATACTCTAGTCTTGTGTTCTTGTCATTACTTTTAACATCAAAACTCTGATTTCTTATTAGTTGGTGCCGAGGCCGATGACAGTAAGCTTGAGTTGCTCTTGTCTCAAGTTGAGGGGAAAGATATCACTGAGTTGATTGCAGCTGGAAGGGAGAAATTAGCTTCCGTACCAAGCGGTGGTGGTGGTGGTGTGGCAGCTGTTGCTACTGCACCTTCCAGTGGCGGTGGGGCAGCCCCAGCTGCTGAAGAGAAGAAAAAGGAAGAGAAGGTTGAAGAGGATACCGACGAGGAGATGGGCTTTGATCTTTTTGGAGGAGATGATTAGAGTTGTTTTACTTCTATATGTTTGTTTGGATAATACTATCAAGTTTTAGCATCCCTTCCTGTTTTTTACTAATCTTTTTTCTGCTTATTGTATGATAACAATAGCTGAATCATGATTCATGAACCTGACATCTCCATCTTCATTCCCCTTTCAAGCCTATTTTTGAAAACAATTTTTATTAGAACACCATATTGTATATTTTACTTTGAGTTTCAGTGGTTCTGCTGGCATTATTTATTGATTTATTCTCTTCGTACTCTCTAATCTCTATCATCAGACAATAGCGCATCTTTGTTGGTTTTACAATGTAGTCAAATTAAATTAGTTATTTTTAAAAATAAGAACCGATTTTAGTTCTTATTATTTTTCTATTTGACGTGGTGTCATTGGTTTATTTTGTTAAAATTTATGAAATTTTGTCATAAGTTGGATTGATTAATTCTTCTGAATTAAAAGGATTAAAAAAATTATACTCAAAATATATTTTATTCATAAAAAAAGAAAAATAACTAAAATGATATCTGTGATAACTTCACTCAATCTAGTCAAAAAAGTAACTTCAATATTACATATTTTGATTATTACACGGCTCAGCGTGCGAAATCAAAATTTATCTATTTAATACGGAGTAAAAGAATTGACTAATAAATTTGCCAGCCGCCGCCACCATAATCCATATTTCCATCGTGTACATGCAATGTTCCAAAAGGCGGGATCTCCCACCCCAGGAGCGCCTACACCCTGACCCGACAAAATGGTGTAGAAGTAAGTCACGACACCGTGACCCGACAGAAAAACTAACAATAATATTCATCAAATCTGGAAGCTACAGTTGATTAAAATGACATCAAAAATTCTTCTCATTCTATCTATGTACATAAGCTTGTATGACTAAATGATTATTGCAGCCTTTGTATGCTTGACCTGTAAGATCAATGTATACATAATACATCATTCCTGGCATCTGCTTAGGAATGAGAGAGATCTAATTCTAAGAGCCCATTTGGTAAGGGTTGGTTAAAAAATCTACTACGCAATTTTTGTGAAACCGTTCAGTAACATCCATTTCAACCAATTGAGTCGATTGAAAGCCACTTGTTGTGCAGATGAACCACTTTTGACTACCAAATGGAGCCCAAGACCTTTGAACTTATAACTTATAATCTGATTTCGAGAATCCAGGATGTGCATTCTTGAAGGAGTTGAAAGTTGAAACCTTTGACTGACAACAACATTGTAGAAGACCTCCATCTGTAGAAGGTGTCAGTTTACAAAACTGTGCCTCTGGAGCAAAACAGTTTCAATAGATTTCTCCTCATCGCCTGCATACCTTACACAACCATAAGCTGCAAACATATAGATCAATGTCTAATGCCACAAAAAACCTGGACTCATACAACACTGATAAATGAAATAAATCTCTTTTCTTACAAGAACTTCATGCTGAGCATTCAGGTCAAGTGCCAAAACAGCAGAGATATGCTTAATGAACTCCAGATGCACCAATTCTCACTATCCCCCAACCATTTGTAATGAACTTCGCATAAGGTACAAGAGAATAGCATAATTGATGATGGTGCTGTCATTATATCTATTATTATTCACCATTAGCTCTTGGTTTCTGCTTATGAACACCATTTCTTGTTGCGGTATCTGCCTTCCTAGCCTTGCAAGAAAAGGGGATGGATTTGACCTTTTGGGTCAGTCTGGGAGTTGTGTTTTATAGGGGATGGGTTTGACATAAGTGTATATCTTGATATATACTTGAGATTTATAGACTGAAGACTCATATTGTTTGGTTATGCTATATTTTGTGAAATAATGACTAGTATATGGCTAAAATAAATGCCGGGCAGAAATATAATTTCTAGGAAAATTTCAAAATAATAATTTCAACTATTGTCGGTCCACCATTAATAATCCTAACTAGCTAGTATTCCTGGGTGGTCTCAACTATAGTGAATATTTTCCAAAAACGTTCCCTAACATGTTACAACCTGCTATAGCAGGTAATTTTTAAATGTGAACTATGTGTAAGATTTAAATAATAGAAATTGCCCAATATAGGAGTAAATATAAACATAATTGCACAAATAGGAGTAAAACTTAAAACTTCCTTCAATAAGAGTAAACATTAATTTTGTACCCTTTGATAGTCCCAAAACTTAACAATCGAACAATCATAACATGTATAAAGAAGAAGCAGATAGAAAGATAAGATATTTAACAACGCATCCGGTATACCGTATGAAATCCCGCTGCTCTCCCTTGAGAAGGAGAGCAACGGAAACCCTACTCTCTCTATCTCGCTTCTGCGTCTCTAAAGCCTCAATAGTTAGGGTTCCCGTAAGTTAGCCTCCTTTTATAGGAGAAGTTGGCTAACTTACGGGTTACAAGGAAGCTAACGGGCTGATACACATTTGTGGTCCGTATTACACGTTTAATTAATAACTACACAAATACAAAGATATTTAATTAGATTGGACACCATAAATATTCCTAACAATCTCCCCCTTGATGTTCAATCGTGTTGAATCAGCATTGCATCGCAAATATCTTTGTCTTTGTTGTTATTCAGCTTCCTTTGTCTTTGAACTTGACTTCTTGAGAAGGCTTTATGAAGAAATCCTCGCAATCTCCCCTTTGATGTTTTCTTGGCAGTTTGATCTTTGATGCCGGGGTTTGAGGAATCTTTTTCTTGTAATCCTTGCCTTCCAGAAGTTGCTCTTGATCTGCTTGGATGAAGTCCGGTGACGCCTCTAGAATGAATGTTCTTTGAAGAATAGAGGGCGCGCACGGCGCACGGGATTCATCTTCAGTACATGAGTATTTGACCTCTGTCTCCTCCACAATGTAGTCTTTTTGACTATTTGGAATGAATGCATTTGAGGAGAACTTGTCGGTGGCATAGCAGAACATAATGATGGTTGACTTGTGAGCGTAACTGACCATTTGAGTTGCGGAGATAGTAGAGAAAATTTTGGAGGAGAGAAGTGTCCCAGAATGATTTTTTGAGAGTTAACAGCTTGTGGACCACTCTCCCCCTCACGACGATCCGATGAATCGGGGCATCATGCCTTTATTCTTTTATTCTGCGGAAATAAAATAGGAAAAACAAGCAGAATGTAAAGAAGATAAGGTAGCCCCCCGGGGTCGGCTAGACGTCCGTTATAATCACTAAAGAGATAAACTCTTTAGCAATGGTCTGAAAATGTTGGTGATTCTTATGTTGCAACAGCAGGACTTCCTTCCAATCGTTTGTCTACATCTGTAATAGATGAGCCCTATGGAAGTTCTAGCAGGTCATGTAGACCTGCAACTGACTCAAAAAGTGCGTATGTGTCCTAGAAAATTTCAAAAACATGTGAGAGTGAGTAACTAGACACGACGTGATCAATGAAAGTTCAGTGGCATGAGGCTGAGGCCACTGTAGTCAGTATCACTTGCCTCGGAAGGAGACACTAATGAGAGATGCGGTTCCCCGTGAAGTATGATTAAACACCCGTCTGTTGGGAGACAAGTGAGTGGTCTTGGGTAGGGTTCAACGTGCACTGTTGGACAAGATACAGTGACTTCTACCCAGGATCTGATTAAATCAGTCCTGAACCTATTTGGGAATTGTCCAGAGTATTTGAGTGGCTAGGAGTAAATATTCAATGGATAGTAGGTAGTTGAGGTAGCAGACTTATCATTGATTATTGTTTTCTTTCTCACTTGAGCCTTCTGCTTCCTAACGCTCATAAAGATCATTCGCTCACTCGCTCACTCACTCACTTACGCTCGGCTTTGTCCCTTGGGTAGGCTTAGTTGGGTTTACTAAGCCATAGGGACATGTTCTCTCATTACTTTCTTGATTTTCTCTCTGTACTCCCCCTCAACTGGAGCACTCGGTATGCTTTGACATTGTCAGGCACCGGGGAGGATAACATTGAACATTCCCCCTAAAATGTTGCATCCGTTGAGAGATTCCTTGCATTGTCGGTGTACGGCTCCAGGAGGAGAAAACTGAAACTCCCCCTCAGAATGTGCAAGGATTGATTGCTCACTGCTCGTCATACCCACCATGTGTGTGGAGCAATCTGAACAAGTACCACACATGACGGTTTCCCTAAGCTCATCATTTGGAAATTCAGCACATTTGAGGATCACACAATGTTGACGAGTTAGGGGAGGCTTCAGTAATTGATTGTTGATTGTTGTAAGATGACCGTTGACGCGAGGTTGATTGAATTATCTACGATTTTCGGACTTCTACAGTGAAGTTTAGAAAAACTTTGACCTTAGGCTTGACTTTGGAAGAATTTGAACAGATTTGTCTAAGTTTTGACCTGGACATCGGTGATTTACAACGTTTGTCGGAAAAGTAACGTTTTGACCCTCAAAGACTTCGAGTGAGGGCGCGTGAGAATAGTTTCTGTGGCAAATCCGAAGCGTAAATGTATATCGTTTCGTTAGCTTTCCAACAAAAAAAAGTTCGCCTAAGTCGGATCACCGAGTCAAAAGTTATGGCCAAAATAGTGCGGTGTCGCAGAAAATCTCGAAAATTTTGAGTTTTTGAGGAATATCTTCGAAGTTGAGGTTCTCGATGCTGAATATCGAAAACAGGTGGGATTAAGGAAAATTCTAAGGCAATAACTCAAAATCGTAATCTCGAGGTTTAAATCGCGAGATTACAATCTCGAGGTTTAAATCGCGAGATTACAATCTCGAGGTTTAAAACTCGAGATAACAATCTCGAGGTTTAAATCTCGAGATCACAATCTCGAGGTTTAAACTTCGAGATAACAATCTCGAGGTTTAAAACTCGAGATCACAATATCGAGGTTTAAACTTCGAGATAACAATCTCGAGGTTTAAAACTCGAGATCACAATCTCGAGGTTTAAAACTCGAGATCACAATCTCGAGGTTTAAAACTCGGGATCACAATCTCGAGGTTTAAATCTCGGGATCACAATCTCGAGGTTTAAAACTCGGGATCACAATCTCGAGGTTTAAAACTCGAGATCACAATCTCGAGGTTTAAATCTCGAGATCACGATCTCGAGGTTTAAATCTCGAGATGACGATCTCGAGGTTTAAATCTCGAGATGACGATCTCGAGGTTTAAATCTCGAGATGACGATCTCGAGGTTTAAATCTCGAGATGACGATCTCGAGGTTTAAAACTCGAGATGACGATCTCGAGGTTTAAAACTCGAGGTTAAAATCTCGAGATCACCATCTCGAGGTTTAAATCTCGAGATGACGATCTCGAGGTTTAAA